GTTGCTGAAACAAAGCTTGCAATATGACCTACGAAACTGGGCTGGCAGGGGACTGTAGCCAAAATTGAGTTTGTCTTTAAGCTCTTCATCCATTCATCCAAATTAGGCCCTAACATGCATGGATTGCATCATTTACTATCCAAAGCCATCATTATTACCTAAAGCTCAATGAACTGAAAGATAAACACAAAAAGGATTAAAAGCACAAGTTTAACTCAAAAACATAACCAAATCATAAGCTAGAAGGGTACAAAATGATATACAATTATGAACCGATCACCGGTCGACAGGAACATGTTGATAGATTGACTACCATAATTCTTCCTTGTCTTCTTCAAAGCACGAGTTCTTCTCTTCACTCCCCCTCTTCCCCTGAAAAGAAGGGCTCGTATGAGCCACAAAGTAGGATAAGTTTTCATGGAAGGTGACATCCATAGTGACCAAAGGCTTCTGGGTAGGGGGGTGGTAACATTTGTATCCTTTTTTATTTGAGCCATAACCAACAAACACACAACGGAAGGCACAAGGATCCAACTTACTCCGCTAATGAGAAGGAACATAAGCATATACAACACAACCAAACACGCGATGAGGTATCTTAAGAACAGTAGGAAGAGAGATGTAATGAGCCAAGGTGTTTAGTGGAGTCCGAAAGCCTAGAACACTACTAGGCACTCAATTAATCACATAGACTGCAAATAGGACAACATGACCCCATAAATAGTGAGGAATTGATTTATCAAGCATGAAGGCACGGGTAACCTCAAGCAATTGTCGATTCTTTCGTTTCGCGACACCATTTTGTTTTGGAGTGAAAGGGGTGGAAGTTTGGTGAATGATGTCGTGATCCCTAAAGAATTGAGCTAAGACATTGTTCACATATTCCCCACGATATCGAATCAAAAAACCTTGATGGATGCCTAAAACTGAGTGGTGATCATAGCATGAAATTCACGGATAGTAGAGGTAACATCACTTTTATGGGTGAGCAAGTATACCCACGTCATGCGGGTGCAGTCGTCAATGAAGGTAACAAACCATCTCTTTCCATTGGAAGATACTATAGCAAGGCCCCAAACATCAAAATGAATTAAGTCAAATGGTTGGGTAGCTTGATGGGTACTTGACGAATGAGTACGATGACTTTTAGCCAGGACACATGTTTCACACTTGAATGTAGAATCATCATGATGGCAAAACAACGAGGGAAACAAGGACTTGAGATAACCAAAGGACGGGTGTCCCAAGCGACGATACCAGAGCCAAATTTGTTGGCGGTCAGTTTCACGGGTATTCGGAGTAGAAGAATGAGCCTTGGCGGAACCAGGTGGTGGTGGTGTGGGCAATGCCAATGAGTATAACCCCCCTCTCTGTTTACCATAACCAATCATCTCACGGGTCTGGAGGTTCTAAAATTTTTCAATATTTATAGAAGCAATGCAAGGACAAGGTTAAGTAGACAAGGCAGGAAAAGTAAGGGCAAGTTAAGTAAAGACAAGGAAAGAACAAGGTTATGCAGAGACAACCAAAAACGATTGCTATGATACTATGCTAAACAGTCTAAAGAAAGGTTTCTGGTTTCAAGTTCATTGTATTTCTTTGTATAACTTATAGCAGAATTTATACAAGGAGAAAGCATGTTATTCAAGCTCAATATTAATTACAAGTAGGTAGATGGGAGCTGGTCTTAAGCTCCTAATCCTAGAGATTTGCAGCAGCAGCCTCCCAAAGTCAAGCCAACCTAATTAATGCACCCACCTCATTAATGCAGCCAACCTCATTAATGCTACTAGCTAACACAATAGAGACATTGGGGAATTTCTCGGTGTTCAGAGAGACTTCCTTTTCAATGACGGCCACCAACTATCTCAGAAGTCTAGTTCGAATCCCACCCATGTCTCGTAGCATTCTTAGTAGCAAGAATTTACTATGGAATCATGGAATGAAGTGCCAGTGCAGCAGCAGCAGTAGCAGTAGTGGCATTGATGAGAAGTCAGTGTTTTCACTCACCTCGTCAAGCAAGTACGAAGTTGATTATTTGGGAGAGAAAACCAAAGGGGATTTGAATGTCAAGGTGGAGCATCTTGAGGCCTTTGGTAACTTTCTTCCCTCTCCAATGCTCTATTTCGTTCTTTCAGTTTGAAACTACAACCATATATATATATGTGTGTGTGTAAAGTTTTGTTCTTTTCAATGAACCCATGTAGGAATTGATAGTCAAGCAACTTTAAAAGGTCCAATTGAGGAAGTGGCCAGGGTTGAGGCTGAAGAAGCTGAAGACTTGCTCAGAGACTTGGGTATCCCGGTGCTGTTTTTTAATTCCTTTTCCTGCATACAATTGGTCCTACATATGCATTACCTTATCTCTTATCTTTTTCTTTAATATATGGTTCTCTGGAATCTTGAACCAATGTATATCCCTCTTATCATTTGCTTATGGTATTACCATGTTCAATATTTATGTGCAGACTCCTTTTTCGTCAAGACAATCACCTCGCGGCAATTTTTTGTAGCCGCACATTGAATCTTGGATCAATTAGTGCCATTGGATATGATATGGACTATACCGTGATGCATTATAGTGTGATTGTAAGTGTCATCAGCTTAATATATGTTCTTATTCTCAGCATTAGTTGGCGCGTCAGCTTTGATGCAACATCAAGATCATATAGTTTTGCAATGTGCAAGTGACTAGTGTTGCAACCACAACCATTACTATTCTGGCTATTGTCTGACATGGATTTGTATTTTGCAGGCTTGGGAAGGGAGAGCTTATGATTACTGTATGGAGAATTTGAAGAAAGTGGGTTTCCCTGTTGACGGTCTTGCGTTTGACCCTGACTTGGTAGCATCTATAAGAAAGTTAATCATCCTTTCCCATAGATTATTAGAGGCCTTGTCATAGACAAAGAGAAACTTAGTGAAGGCTGATCGATTTGGTTATGTAAAGAGGGCTATGCATGGCACGAAGATGCTATCTAATCGAGCTGTAAGGTACACTATGAAGCTTTTATTTTTGGTTAGTCTCATAGTTCAAATGCAAAGCAGGCATTCAGTGTGCTGTTAAAACATTAGCAATAAGGCTTCCTATGAAAGTTCCAATTATCAGATTTATTACTCTGGTAATGAGGCACTTGCATGCAATGCTACCAAAGAAACATAAATGCCATCCTTGATACCGATCAAAGCTTCATGCTTTCCTTTCTCTGCAATGACTCCATTTTTCACCACTGCAATTACATCCGCACCCTTTATTGTGGATAACCGATGGGCAACCACAATTGTGGTTCGATCCACCATGATTCGGTCCAATGCATCTTGAACCACTCGTTCCGATTCAGCATCAAGAGCACTTGTTGCTTCATCTAGTAGTAGTATCTTTGGTGCCTTCATTATAGCTCGTGCAATTGCCACCCTTTGTTTCTGTCCACCGGACAATTGAATCCCCCGCTCTCCTACTATTGTATCATAACCCTGCATTGTTTTCCAAACTTAACATGGTTAATCTTCAACGTTCCGAATAAAATTTTGTGAATTTTCATCAACTAGTCCTTCTCATTTATGCAGCACCATGGCAATAGATTATATTATAGTATTTGTGGCCAAAAGAAATTGACAAGCTTGTTAATTTTGTAGTGCCTACCTGTTGTAAACTACTGATGAACTTGTGAGCATTTGCCAACTCTGCAGCAGCTATAATTTCAGCCTCTGTTGCATTCCCTTCCTTTCCATATGCAATGTTGGCTCTGATAGTGTCATTAAACAACACAGGCTCCTGGCTCACCAGTCCCATTTGCTGTCTCAACCACTTGAGCTGTAGCTTTTGGATTTCAAATCCATCTAATGTAATGTCACCTGAATCAGGGTCATAAAATCTCTGCAACAGTGAGACGACTGTCGATTTCCCACTTCCACTTTCTCCAACCAAAGCAACTGTCTGAATAACATAATTCAAATTTGTAAGTCCCAGAAACTTGAATTAGACTACGACGTCCAAATCTTATGCATTGTTTGAAATGAGTAAAAGAACAAAACCAAGTTACCTTGCCATGATGAATGGTCAAGCAAAGATCCTGGAAGATGGGTACATCAGGTCTAGTTGGATACTTGAAACTGACATGGCGAAGTTCAATTTCTCCCTTCACATTTTCTATAGTTGTTCCAGATTCATCACTAGAGTCTATTTTTGATTTCCGGTCAAGAATAGCAAATATGGAAGCAGCAGAGCTCTTTACTTTACCAAGATTAGGGGCTAGGGAACCTGACTGAGACACTCCAAAAGCTGTCATCGCGAGAGCAAAGAAAACCTGCAAACCAGGGAAATGTTAACAAGGGACTGAACGGACCAATGAAGATTTAATTCTCAAGTAACATGTATTTAGTAGAGTTCGGATCCTCTGCTAATGTTTTCTCATCTATTTACTCTCTTGAAGACTAGTAGCGCAAGGCAGAAAAACTTACCCTGAAAACATCAGAGAATGTTGTCTTGCCTGTGGCGACTAGTCGGGCTCCGGCATAAAAACTGCAGGCATACACAGAAAAAAGGAAAAACAACGATAGCCCAAAACCTATCCCGCTGATTAACCCTCGTCTTATCCCTGTCTTAATAGGGCCTTCACATTTCTTCTGGTACAATACAATCACCTTCTCTTCAGCACAAAAGGAAGCAATTGTTCGAATACTCCCAACTGCATCATTGGCTACTTGACTTGCATCCTCGTACATTTTCTGCATTGAAAAAAAGGATTGGCCTTTTATATATTATGTATGTCGTATTGGATGGTGTTTTGACTGCACCAGCTACAAGTTCTATACTATAGACTTTTGTAAAGTTTGGACTTTGGAGAAATACCTTTGCATCTGCACTGAATCCTTTCAAGAACTTGACTTGAACATAACCTGTTAATCCTAATAGAGGCAGCAAAACCAGGATTATAAGAGCAAGTTGCCAATTTGCCACAAAAGCAATACACAAACCAGCAATTGCAGTTGCTGAATTCTCAACCAGCAAACCTAGAGCATCTCCAACCAGCCCACGCAGAGAAGCTGCATCTACAGAAAGCCTTGCACCAATTGCACCACTTGAGTGCTCAGGATCGTCAAACCAACTTACTTCCATGTAAACCGCCTTCTCATAGCACATTGATCGCACTCGTTTTATTAAATTACACCCTGCCACAGCAAAAAAATATTGTCTTGCTGGCGCTGCTATGAAAGCTACCACCCCAAGAACAATGAAGATTAATGCCCAAAACTTCGAATCCTTACGGAGTTGAGGAGGTGGCTCGTAGAAGGTCTTGATTACGCTGGATATCAATATCGCAAAAATAGGCACGATTGCCCCATTGACTGCTGCAGCTATGGTACCAAGTAATAATACTGGGATCTCTGGCTTGTTCAGGTAAGCCAGGCGGCGAAGTGAGACTTCTGGAGGCACTCTTGATGATGCTGAAGCCGGAATATCACTTCCGGCGGATGCTGTTTCAAGAGAATCGACTGCAGTGGGCACACCGTATTTGATTGAGAAGGAATGACGGTTACTATTTCCTCTTCCGGATGATCCCCGGCTTATGGATTGTAAGTTTGAAAATCTTTTACTTGAATGTCTTCGAGAATCCACGCCGCTAAGCCTTTCGTGATCATTTACAGCAGTCTGTTCTGACACGCTGCTCATTTCTTGCAACCTTATAAGCTGGCTATATGCTCCTTCAGGGTCCTTAATTAGCTTAGAATGTGGACCTGCTCAGTTGAAAACAATCAGTATGTGCAATACCCATGGACTAAGAATAAGATGAATTGTAACATTATGTTGAACTATACAAATGCATTACCTTTTTCAACAATTGTTCCTCGATGTATAACAGCAATGGTGTCAGCATTCCTTACTGTGCTCAAGCGGTGGGCTACAATGACAGTAGTCCGGTTGATCATAATTCTGTCCAGTGCCTCCTGCACAATGCTCTCAGATTCTGCATCAAGAGCACTCGTGGCTTCATCTAAAAGTAGAATCCTTGGGTCTTTGAGAATTGCTCTAGCTATTGCAACTCTCTGCTTTTGGCCCCCAGATAGCTGAGTTCCATGCTCACCAACCATTGTGTCTAATTCCTAAATACATAAATCAGAAAACCACAAATAAGAAACAAGGAATTGAATGAGTTGATCAAAATAATCCGAGGTTTTAGAAAATTCATGTGATCTCTCCATATTTCCATCTTTGAATGTAACAAAATGATAAGATCACTGGATGTCTCAATAAGCTTCCATGGTCATGGAAATTAAGAATTCACACAAAAAGTTCAGAGAACAAAATACCAGAACTTAGATGAAATTTTAATTGAATTTAACCTGAGGCAGTTTGTCTATGAATTTAGCAGCATTGGCAAGCTCAGCAGCAGCCCTTATTTCTTCAGTGGTTGCACCATCCTTCCCATAGGCAATATTATCTTTAATGCTACAAGTAAATAAAACGGGTTCCTGGCTGACAAGGCCTATTTTCTGTCTGATCCATTTCAGCTGGAACTCTTTGAGATTAATACCATCAATAAGAACTTCGCCAGCTAGTGGGTCATAAAATCTCTCAATCAAACCGATTACAGTTGATTTACCACTTCCACTCTCTCCAACCAAAGCAGCAGTTGCACCACTAGGTATTGAGAGAGAAAATCCATCGAATATTTGTTCATCCGGTCTTGCAGGATAACTAAAATAAACATCCCTCAGTTCTATGTCTCCACGGATATCATGTAATTGTTGCCCATTAGTGTCAGAAGCATCAATCTCTGGCTTTCTGTCAATTGTCTCAAACATCTTATAAGCTGCAGCTTGTCCAGCAGCAAATGCACTCAAGCATGGAGATGCCTGCCCAAGAGACCTGAAAATTTATCATAGAAACATTGTTATATCTTGATCTTCTGAAGAATCACATATCAAATTTTGGACTGAAGGGGGTAGGGGGAGTAGTCAGTAGGTCACGTAAAAATGCAAACACTAGTACAATAGTACTAGGATCAACAAATTTGTTCATTAAATTTTATTGAAATGCAACTTACATGGAGCCAGTCAACACAGCGGAAACTACATTAATGACTTCCCCTCCTGTATATCCTTTTTCAAGTATCATCTTTCCTCCAAACCATATAGCCAGAGCATAACTACACATCATAATCAGCATAGCCGAACCAATTCCGAACCCAGATGCCAAACCCTCTTGCACACCAGAGTTGTAAGCTTTAATTAAGGAGTTGTTGTAATTAGTTATAGCTTGCTTTTCTCCTGTAACCGATGCAACCTGAATTCGGAACACCAATCAGTTTTAGTTCTACACTAAAAAAAATAGAAATAATAAATTTTTGTTTTAAAGATCTTAAAGACAAGTAGGCCTACTGTTCTGATTGAACCAATTGTCTGCTCTACCACAGTTGCTGCCACTGAATAAGCAGTTTGTCTACTGGATGCCGTCTTTGATATAAGGATGCCCATGACGGCCCCAGAGAGGACAAGAAGGGGGATAGAAGATAGCATGACAAGGGTGAGAAGCCATCCCTTAACAA